ATATTTGAGATAAAGATTATGAATCCATTCGAGCAGAACTAGAAATCATCATGCTTACATGCATCACTAGTGGACTTGATTTGAGTGCCGGAACATACACGGCTGTGATTTGAAAAACGGTATCAGTAGAGGGGTGGTTCAGGGTTTTTTGCCCGTGTTTCGGTCCACCACTTCCCCCCGCCCCTCCTCCTCCCTGCCCTCCTCCCCTATCCCCAGCTGGACAACCAAGTTTTGAAAGGGGTATGCAGACTTTTGGGTTCATGTACGGGAAGCCAATTGTTCTCCGCTCAGACCCTCTAAACCCCTCGTCTCTCATTCCACGGCTGTTTTGCATCTTTTGCGAAGTGAAGCTAAAGAAGATGTCTTTGCTAGTCTCCTCCTCCCCACCACCCCCCCTCCTCCCCCCCCAAAAAAAGAGAAAAAACAAAGGAAAAAAGACGAATAGCTCGGAGTTACAGTAAGAAGTAAGGTCGCTTGCAGCCGGTCGGTTGGATGGAGAAGGGAGAACCGTTTGAATATATAGTAGATGAGGCAGCACATCGTCATGCTAGGGACTTGTTGAGGGAATCTGGTTGTCGTTGCAAATGAATGCATTCGGGAAAGTAGTCGAAGTGTGGGTCGGAGTTCCTTGAGTGAATCTGACCGTACTTGCAAACGCATACATTCACGAAATTAGAAGTGTGGGTATGCCCTTAGGATGTTGACAAGAAGGGATAGGAAAGAAAAAGGAAGGGAAAGTGGAACAGCATTTTGGGGGAAGAAATTGAATCATGTTGGAGACTCTCATTCTCCAATCAGTTTGGGGATCTTTTCTTTTTTTTTTTAATTCAGAAGAATTGAAACCTTTATAGAGGGGATCAGAATCTTAAACCCTACTATATTTTCACGATTGCCCTGGTTACCAGGAGGCCTGCCCATTTTTTGATTAGTCTGTTGGGTTGGGGGTCTGACAGCCGCCGATTTTCGTTCTTGTCTGCAGGGGTGGCCTGCTTTTTCAGGAGGTAGTGGTGGGTTTTAAGCTGAGATTACTCTTTATGTCAACCAGTGAATCCCGAATATCATCTAGCTTTCCTTATTTTGCAAGGGAACCGGGCAAACGGATGGGTGAACGAACACACTACCATCTTCACCTGAATAGAACAGAATGCATGGCCACGATCACAGTGTCTGAACTGAAAGGTGGCCCAGATACAGCTGCAATGACGATGCCTTTCTATTCCGATGTAGACGGTAGGATGACGCTGAAAACATGCGTCTTTTTTTGGGGTGATTGGGCTCCTAGAGTCCCGTACATGTTGGCTATTTTTGGGATGATCTTCACTTTTGGCTGGATGTTATTCTCTGCTCGAAAAGCAACACATTTTTTCCATTTCTTCTCCTTCTTTTTTTGTCACAGAGGGCTTGCTGGAATCTTTCTTTCTTGGTGAAGACCTTTTGTTGCATGCATATTGCATGTTTGTTGGATGTATGAAGGCTGCAGATGTCTGACAGAGTGTATCAGGTCCTTTTGTCAGGCAAAGAAGCAGGAGCACAAAGAGCCTCCGGAAGTGATTGAGGTTGAGTACTTGCCTGCACCTGTCGATTTCAGTGACTTGGGCGATGGTTCCGAGGAGCTGCTGAAAGTCTTCGAGAAATTTGCTATGACCGAACCTCGCCCTATTTCACAGGTAATAATGGTTTCCTTTCTTTCTCTCTCTCGTTCCCCCGAGTGAACTTTTGAACTTATTTGCTACCTTGCCATGCAATAGCATCGAACTTATCACTTTTTCTTCTTTGATCAGCCCACTGTGGGTGCTCTTTTTTCTCGACCTGTATGTATGAATGGCATGCCGGCTCCTCTGACGATGTGGATTCCACAATGGATTATGTAATGCCTGCTCCTCTCATGATGTGGATTCTACAATGGATTATGTTGACTGTGGGAGTGCATGGATGCATGAACAGGTATGCAGGTTGTGGATGTATTGGAATATGTGCTAGCTTGTGGACTAGCTTCAATCGGTGGTTGATTACGATGAATTGCTTCCCATCTATGCCTCTCTGTGTACTTGCGGCGAGTTCTGTCATGTGGTGATATTGGCAGCTGTGCCGGTTTATGGGGCTAAGCTAAGTTCCTAGCTGTGCTGGTTTGTGGGCTAAGCTCGTAGCTTCAGTCACCTGTTGATGAGGATGAACTGACATCTGCTGTGCCCCTCTGTCTACTTGTAGTGAGCTCTGTCACCTGTGGATTATGACGCTGCTATAGACCGAACATCGCCCTGTTTGGCTGTCTCCGTCCATCTGTATCCTAATCGATGGAGCAGTGATTGGGGTGAGCTGCAAGTCACCAGAGTGGGTAAAAGTTACTTAATGCTGCGTTGGATTGGATGCAATGCGGGAGAGAGAGGACGGGCTGGATAAGTAAGAATGACCCGTGGAACCTGAGTTCCAAGAGCAACATGAAGTTGTCATCTAGGAATGAATATGAGAATGTAGCATGATGTTCAGAATATCAAGTGCAGGAAAAGCAAGAGCAAATGCCCTGTGATCTGAGTTCCACGAGCTACGTGGAAATGGTAGTTTGGAAATGAATGGTTTAAACCACCAGGAGGAGCAGAATTGCACTGTATTTGGAATGGTCACCATCTGTGCTCCCTTTGAGTAAGTCCATGGATGGGTGCGATCACTTCTGATCCAGGGATTACAGAGCAGCAAACTGTTGTAAAAAAATTATAGGCTCCTGCACTATATCTGAGAATATTTCTGTCCTTATCTTAATGATTGTCGTCTAGTAATGGGTTCAGTGTGGGTTTCCGAGTGACGCTGCTCCTCTTTCATGTCTTTGCCTTCCTGTCTTAGGGGTCCATTCTTTTGAGAAGTTTTGACATCACTCAGACTAGTCCAGTCGTTTTCACTGGCATGCTGAGTACTGTCTTGACCCTGAACATAAAGCCTTGTTGAAAGGGATGAACGAGGCTGTGCTCAGCCATCAGTCTGTAAACTGGGACTGCTTCTTGTGCATTGGTCTGTGAGAATGCGCATCGGTCTGTGAGAATGCTCTGTGCTAATGGCGTTTTGCTGTTGCCTAATGGAAAAGGCCTTCCTCCTGGGGCATAGGGGACGGGAGGGATCAAAGAGGCTGTGTGCTCTACTATCAGTCTGCGAACTGGGGCTGCCTCCTGTGAAAGCTAGAGTTGTGAGGATCGAGATGGAGGGTTGGGTTTGTGGAATTATTGTTTCTGTGTTCTGGATGAAGCGTGCTCTTTCTGGATGTTTATAATCTTGACTTCTTCCTCTTTGTGGGCCGCTCTTGTTTTTCTTTTTTCTGTCCTTTTCTTGCTCTCTTTTGGCGACGTTAAGGAGGAAGAGTTAGGAGGCAAAGCAGAAACTGCTGTAGTGGAGAAGAAGAAGTTC